GACGCTCCAGTAAGCAACACACGACGCTCCAGTAAGCAACACACGACGCTCCAGTAAGCAACACACGACGCTCCAGTAAGCAACACACGACGCTCCAGTAAGCAACACACGACGCTCCAGTAAACAACACGACGTCTCCAGTCAGTAACACACGACGCTCCAATAAACAACACGACGTCTCCTGAAAGCTTGCATTGTTCAGGTGCCGGTAGCGGTGCAGGAGGAGCTGCGTCGGTCGCTGCGTCTACAGGAGCGGGACTGCGACAGGCAGGTGCGGGTACAGGCGTGGCACCGCGCCGTGAGCTTCGCGCCCCACAGGCTCGCTGCCCTCCTCAACCTCCTGCACATCGTTGTCAACACCGTACAGGTGCGCCAGTGCCATACAAAATTGTGTCCAAGTCTTGACTCAAACTATATTTTGTTGGATATAAGTATATATATCTATAAAAGTATATAAAAGTTCCATTTTCGTAAATGTACTCCTACACATCGTTATCAACACAGTACAGGTGCGTCAGTGCCATACAAAATTGTGTGACGCAATTAATACAAAAAATATAACTCAGTACTCCCTGCAGTGAGTGACAGAGAGCGCATTTCCTCGTCGATGAAAACGTGAAGTCACGGACGGTCACACAGACGGACGGACATGGCGTGCACAATAGTGCATTTTTTAATAAATGAGAAAATGCGCTAAAAATTAGTTTTACAAAATTGTGTCCAAGTTTTGCCTCAAACTAGACTTTGTTTTAAGAATTAGTGACGCAATTATGGAGCTCCCCACTATCCGAAGTTTGCCTTTAAAATGTATTTTGTTTTATGAATTATCGACAAAATTCTGTAACAATATCATTTATTTTCAAATGAATGGAAAATATTTGTGATCTTATCCTTGATTTATTTCCATTTGCATGATTGCTTTAGCTCAATTTTTAAATTTGATTAAAACAAGTTATTTTCTTCTTATTATTTTGCATTTGTGCCCTGGTGCACATCTTTGCAGACATTTGATGTACTCTAGATTTTCGTAATTTCTGAACATACCTTTGCTTCCAAGGCTCTGCAAAACCTTATAGATTTGAATTCCGTAATTAACTTTTGTATTTGTCTTACAGGCGAGCGAAAGCAGCGAAGCCATGTTCGCCTTCCTGCCCGACTATTACTTAGAAGTTATCTCGCACTTGTCCCTGGGCCTTGCAGACTCTTTCATGATCGACTACCCCGTCGTTGAAGGTACGTGAACATTATGAACAATGCCCAGGGGCCGGATTATCAAAACTTCGTAACTTTTTGTACTTACGACAAAAAAGTTACCTATGTGGTACGTAAGTACACCCTAATTTTGACATTATCAGAACTTTCGTACGCAAGTCTTAGCTAAAAGCGTAAATGTTTTTCCCGCGCAAATGTTTGCCGCTCAAATGTTTTGATAATACCACCCACCGCTAGTATTACATTGTCATAGCAACACCACTCGTAATTCGATTTTGCGTACTTACGATGTTTTGCTAATACGGCCCCAGATTTTCCTATGACGAATTGCAATCTATATGCTAGAGCACCGGGAGATAATCGTTGGATCCACACGCCTTGTTCTGAGGAGTTGGTAATGCACTGCTTATTCGTTAGACAATTTTACTGCAGGAGTCTTGCTTACATTTGCTTTTTCAATGACAAGTGCTCAAGGAAATCCAGTATATTTGTGAGAAGAAATTGCACAAAAACTAAAATTGCTAGTTCTAAAATTGTATATATAATGTTTATTTGGTTACTGATCTATCGTTTTGGGAAAATTTCGATTCTGATGTCTCTTGATATTCCTCGTGATTTCATTCCAGTTCACTTGCGTGCTAATGTATCAAATATCCTGTTTTGCACGACTAAGCATGACTGATACAATTCATTATTGTAATTAAATCAAATGAGTTCTTCAAATGCCTGTATTACAGACGAGAGCGCCCTCTACCGCTCTATCGCGGTGTTCCTGTGCCGACACTTCATGGACGCGCGCGTGCGGTTCACCGACTCCAGAGAACAGCTCATGCAAACCGTCGCCTTCTACGTCACTTGCCCTACAACCCTCGCCGTCATCGAAAACGTCGATGTTGAGAGGTACATTACGCTCTTTTGTCCCTATTACGAAAGTTAAGAGAAATATTTCCAGCATTTAACATTCTGTGAGAAGTACGCTGTATGTGAAGTCGTGATTTAGGTGTTTGTCCCTATTACGAATGTAACGGAAATGTTTCCAGCATTTAACATTTTTTTTTTATCAGTGAGAAATACGCTGTATGAGAAGTCGTGATTTAGATGTAGATTTTAAACAGATTCTTGCATTGCAGCCGAGAGGCGTTAGTACGGAGCCTGCTCACGCCTTACGAGAGCCGCGTGTGGGCGCAGAACAACTGGATCTTGGTGCGGTTCTGGAAAGGAAGTGGCTTTGCATTTCGCTTCTACCTAAGCCCACACCTCAAGACCAAAATCACCCCTAAACCGAGCTATTCGGATAACTGCATGCAACTTATTAGTAAGTATTGAGAGCAAACTTTACTGGATTATGTAGGTTATGAGAGATATTCAACTTCTAGTTGATACTGCCGCGCATACTCACTTCTAAATTTCTGTAGGTTACACACTTCCTAAGAGGGTGTTTATTGTGTTATCTGTCATTTGATCAGGGAACTAGATGCCATATATTTCTTACTTGTTTTGCGACATTTGCTCACTGCTTGCGACTTTAATCTCTGATTTCCGCCCCGGTAGAACCGTGTCCTTCATGGGTGCTGCAGCAAGTGCTGGCAGAAGTGCTGTCGAGGGACCCCGCATTTTCGTCCCGCTTCATCAGCTCCTTGCTAAGCCAACTCAACTGGGCCTTCTCGGAGTTCATCGGCATGCTGCAGGAGGTTGTTCCTGACCTCACTACTAATTCTTATTATCCATTCTTTTTCAGCTACCTCATGCTGTAGTATATTCTGAAATGAGGTGACAGGAACAAGATACAAATCATAACAAATGAAATATTGACGATTGTTCCCTAATAAACGTGTTTATCATTGCAGTACAGTGAGTACACTCACAGTTTCAATGAAAAATAAAGCCTACAAGAGTCTTCATTCCTCAATTATGTATATATATTCTTGAAATATGTACAAGTCGCAATTATGCAAGTGATTAAAGGTAACATTTAAATTCTCACAGATCCAGAACTTCTCGTCGCGGGTCGAGCGCGTGTTCATAGACTCGCGGCAGCTGCGCATTTGCTGCACATGCTTCGAGCTGACGGTGTCGCTGCTGCGCGTGCTGGAGATGGTCTTGTGTGCCGGCCCCCAGCTCTTCCTGGCTGCTCCTGCGTCAAGCTCAGCACAGTCTGACGTGCTGCTCTCCATGCTGTGTAAGGTGAGTGCTGCTCTCCATGCTGTGTAAGGTGAGTGCTGCTCTCCATGCTGTGTAAGGTGACTGCTGTTCTCTATGCTGTGTAAGGTGAGTGCTGCTCTCCATGCTGTGTAAGGTTAAGGTCAGCATTACACATTCTGTGTAGGTAATGATCTTGAATCATTGTGTGCTCTGCATAGGAAATGTTGTTCTTATTCCTCGTTTTTTTTTTGCAGCTCTTGTGCCACGTGATGAACCGTGTCAGCGTTGGCAGTAGCGGCTGTTTCACTCGCATCGTGAGCCTGGAGATCCCAGGACTGGACAGCCTGCATCACTTCCCCATCCTCACCGCCGCTGCCGGCATCATCGTCGCTCTTCTTAAGAAGGACATCGAGAACCAAGGTGCGGCGCACGTCGCTTTACCGCCCATCACTTCCAGCCGTTTGCTCTTTGTCCTGCTCGACCACGTTGCTAATATTCTGAACCTTTTTTAGGATTCTTGTCCCGTACTCATTTGTATCAACTTGCTTGGAGATTATGAATTTGAAGCCCAAAAGATTGTTATTTTTATAATTTTCCGATTAATATCAGTTAAATTTTTTTAGCTAGTTCATAAAGATTATCAACTATTGAGCTTAGCTTTAGTTGCGTTGATTTTCAGTTACATTTGTCATCTTCTTCTAGTACCAAGCTAGAGGAGAGATGAAAAAATTGAAGTTTTCAATTCTCACAAGTAATAAACTATTTGATACTCGATGAGACGCAAAATCTGAAATCAAATATTTTTTATTCCTTCACTACTTAAAATAGGTTATTATTATTAATTATATCGAATTCTATAAACTATTTTGAAATACTGAAGCTTATTCAAATTTTCAGAGGACCCCGAGTACGACCCCGTCGCCACAAAAGCGCTAGTGAGCGAACCAAGTTTCCAGCTTCGTTCCTTCGAGGCGCTCTTAGACGCCCACGACCCTGCAGGAGTGCATCCCACGGCCTTCGCTGACCGCCTCGACGCCATCAGCGCCATAGCGAGCGCCCCTATCCAGCGTCCCGGCCACACTAGAAATTCTGCTGCCGCAGGTGTGCTATACCGGTCGCGCAGCTAAACATTAAAAATTTATTTTGTTATTCATACACGTAGAAATTAAATCTCATGCACTTGCACTTGTTTCGACGAGTAATAGAATTAACGGCAATCATGGGCCGTTCACGAGTTTGGGGTGAGAGTTTCGACGTTTGCTGGTCTCTAGTTTTAACTCTAGTGAGCCTAGTTTCATTCATGTCTTAACGAAATTACGAATCTATTGCTAATATGGTGGACTCAAAACATTATATATATATGGCCAGTAGATAGTTTTTAGCCGACGGAGCCACAGGCTTTCTTCCCATATGTTCTAACTTAGCTTCAAATTAGATTTTTTTTACCATACAATTTTTTCTAACAAACAGCAAAGATATTTTATTTATTTATAGTCTATAAAATATCAGCTTTTGAACTATCCATAATCGCGTACTTCTTCTATTATTTTAGACTTCATTCATTCAACTAGGAAAAATCTCTTGCTTGGCAGGTCCTGCTGCTGCTGCTACTGCTGCTGCTGCTGCTACTGCTGCTGCTGAAGCCATGGATGTGGAGGAACGTGCTACAGAATTAGCAGCCGCGCAGCCTGCTGCCGACACGGCCGCTTGTGAAGACATGGCTGAAATCCCTGCTTTCTCATTACGGCAACGTGAGGCTTATTTTCCAGTTCTTACAAATCGTTCATTTCCTTTTTATTGTTTTGAATTCTTCCTTTGTAATTCTTAAGGTTAGAATTACTAACTTCCGAACATTTTGTCTGAAAAAATAATTTAAAGTAGATGATTTTTTTAGTATCAGATTCTCCCTTCAGTATATTCTCAGAATTTTATCTCAGAACAAGTGCAGCTGTGCCACTGACCGTATCAGTGAATCCTTCCTTCACTTCTCTCCCTGTCACTACAGACCCTGACGACGTGAGTGAGGCCGAGCTGGAGGCCATATCACGCTGCATCGCCTACCTCCAGCAGTTCCTCTTGCGGCCCACGGTCACGCCCCCTTCTGATGAATCGCAAGACTGTGTCATTTGCTACGCTCGGCGAGCCACCGCACAATTTTTGCCTTGTAGGCATTTGTCCTGCAGGTGCGTCCCTTCAGAAGGAAGTATCATTACGTAAATGACTTATGACGATAAAAAAACTATAATATATATATATCAATATTACAAAAAGTCTAGAAGCTCGGCACTTGCATGTCTAGCTTGCATGGTTTTCAAGATTCATTGTTCAATAAGTAAGGCGAGAATTTACAAGCTGCGGATTTACTTGGCAACGTACTTTCTTTCCGCCTGCTTTTTCGTTCTTTCAAAGCTCTTAGTTACTTTTATGTTGTCAATAATTTTTTTTTTAGTGGTAGTACTGGATATATCCAGAAAATCAGTGAGTGGGAACGGCGACAAAATATTCGACCTGTGCTGTTGGAAACCATTATTTTATATGATATACTAGATGATTTTTCACGTCTATTTGGTGTGTCCAATGTACTTTTTGTGGCAAGATCTTCAAAATAATCGAGTAAATGATGTGTTTAAGTACGTAGTTCTTGAGCTTCCGTGAGAGGAGACGGTCTAGCACAGAGGGTTGCAGTGAAAGACTTGTAGTATTTGAAATGATACCGTCACAACCAAACTTCACTGTTAATATTTAACCTATAACATAGGATGATATCTCTCCACGATTAGACGTCTCAAGTCAGTATTCAAACTTCCCTTCATTACCGGAAAACGCTGATCTGGATCCTGTGAAGTGTTTACAGTTTCTATACTACGTCCGTCCCGACCACGAATGCTCACGACGCACTGACAGTTGTATTGTTCCAAGTAGCTGTAGCGCGGCTATATTTACAGGTCGTTCTAACTGCGCAATCTCGTCTCGCCTCTTGTTGATATGTCACAGCGTCGAATGGTAGAGTCATTGGTGGCCGTACGTTGGAATGGTGGTGCCTTGTCTGCTCTTGTAGGGTTGCTTCCCGCTGGGGCCCGTACTGCTGGTACTGTAACCGTACTCTTGACCGACAATTGTTGCGCTGTGCTCGTTTCTTGAATGATAGTATTGTCGACTCCATACATGCCGTTCGTCTTGTTATTATTGGTGTTGTGTCACGGCTAAATCACAGTCGGGGTGGCCGCAGTGTTGATGTTAACCGTACATAAATACCTAGCAAAGTCCCCACGTCTTTAGTTGCAGATTGTTGATTCTCTTATGCAGGAGTTTTTTTAGTTATATCAATGGTCAGAATTTCTCACTGTCTGTACTCGTCGATAACGGCCCTGTCGTCCCGTTCACGGCCCTCAGACATGTCTACGGAGCTGCTGATCGCGCTTGCGTAACGCGGACCTGAGAATAATTTCCTCAGACGTTAATTTTAGTTGCTTACACACCAGACGTTGCACACTCTCAAGCCTATTTAGAACGCCGCCTCCATAGTAATAGTGTTGAAATGTCCACCGCTCTGCCCGCCGCTATACAACAAACTCGCTCCCACGCTATTGAAATATCCCGAAACATTTTCACCAAGTCAGGGCATCGAGCCACATCCCAGATTCTTGAACATCTCAACACCAGCGCTATAATAATGGATTGAATTTATAATTTATAGTAATTAACTAACGTACCCTCAAATACTGCTCTCGGCAAACTTTTCGGCATCTTAACCTTCTTAATAAGTAATTAGTAATCCTCATAATGACGAAATTAGGCAGTTTCCTGAGTTGAGAGAATCGTATACTAGGTATGTAAATAGGTCACTAATACATCAAGTAGCTTCGGTAGAAATTAAAAAATTGAGAAAATGCATGAAAACTCTCGTTTTTATGCTTGTTGTTTTAGTGACTCGTCATTTTGTGTTTCAGGGCTTGCATCAGCCAGCATCTGATGACCCACAATGACTGCTTCTTCTGCACGGGCGTCATCTCATCTGTTGTGGACAGCACTTCAGGCGACACCATCATTTCAAGAGACGTTTCTGTTGTTACAGAGCCTCCTACAGACATGGCCACGCGCAGATAGGACTGTTATGATACTAGGAAAAATTGTGCAGAACGTTTTTATCGTGCGCCTGAACCACCGCAGTTTGGCCACGTGGGGTATCCTAGACGTACGGTATTGCTGTTGATTTCTGAATACTGACATAATTTTCCTCTGAAGATAGTGAACCAACAACGTAATACCCTCTAGCGTGGCCATATTTCTTTCAATGGTTCCAGATATGAGAAGGTGTTCATGTCCCTGAATATGGTTTGTGATGTAGATGACACGCCATCACCGCTTGTACAGTGCCGCTATTACGCTTATAGATCCCTGTGTGCAGTAGGTATTTTTTCATTCATTCAACTTGATGTTATTTTTACTTATTATTATTCATATTTAACTAATTTAACGTTTTATCTTTAAATTCACGCATTTGTTTTCAATTATTTTAAAAGTTCTATGAAGCTGAGGAGTAACCATGATTGTGCATCTAATCTCTAGGCTTGTATTCATGGACATCTTATCGCTTTGTTTCGGATTGTTATACCTGATGGTGCTACTTATGGCATTCAAAACTGATTGAAAGTGACCGAATCTTCATCATCAAAAATATTCGATATTTTCTATAGGCAATTTGTAGTGGTTACTTGATTGATTGTTCATTATGATTTTAACCGAATATTCGGTTGTAGCCCTCCACATCTTTAGTTCCTCCTGTCCGTGCATTGTAAATAAGTCGCATGAGTTCTGTTTTCACTATATGATTACGCTTCCCATGCTTCTCTTAGTAGTGTTAGAAATACTGATTCGTTGATCTCTGCGTGGATTGAAGACTGTTAACGATTATTGGGGAGAAAACTCGCCTCAACTTATTAACTCATCGAGTTCAAGAAGACTCTTTAATGATAATGGAATGATGTATGATGTAATGTCAAGGCATCATCGGAGTGAACTCTCGTAGAACGTTATCGTTTACTAAATGAGCATTGTAATGCAGTTAATATTGAAAGTTAATCTCCATCAGCAAACGAGTTATATTGTAATTAGATTGTGCACTTGATGCGCCTCCGTGTCCAGTCGATGGCCTCCATTATCCTGCCAGAGATCACAGCTGCCAGGCTGCCAGAATGCATCCACGCTCAGGAGCTCCGCTGAAGGTATGAACGTAAGCAAAGAGCACAATTGTTACGAGATATTGTTTTTAATATTAGGTTTTTCTGTATTACCTGTTCAGAAATTGAAAAATAAGATGTGGTGCACTTTTTTTTAAGAGTTTCCACGACCTGTTCATTGGCAGATGCCATTAATTTCAGGTGAAGTAACCCATTTGACTTGCAGTGCGCAGAGAGAAGTGCAGCGACTGCATGAGTTGATTCCTGTTCATTTGCTGTTGCAAGCTTTTAATATTGTTTCGTGGTTAGCATTCATTATATTTTAACCCCTTGATTTGGATTTGCATTTGCAATGCAAACATTTAGTTATGATAACTGCCTTAGAAGTAGTTGTTGTATGAATTCACAATCGTTTTTACTTTAGGATCTGTTTCTGAAGTATTAGTTGAAAAATTGTATCCTGTACATATAGTCAGACTCCAAACATTTTTATTGTATTGTGTACAGAGGAATTAGTTGAAGAAATATTCGTTAAGTTGATTTTTTTTACTGACGTGCCTTAAAATATGTTATTTTTCAATTTATCGCACGCAATGCTACAGCGTAAGAATGTAGGGAATTTGTTGTTGCCATACCTAGTGTGACTAGCTGGGCGGCTGTGATATACCGATTTATTATACAATATAATAGTACCTTTCATGATCCACTGCCAAAATTCTTATTAATTATTCATCATTGACAATTTTTGCCCATGAAAACGGCTACAAGTCATGGGCCTATTTCTTCAGCGCCGAAAATAAAAAAGCGGTTTGCTTATTTGAACAAAAACGAAGTCTTTGAATCATATCTAATAAACCGTTTATAAGGTTTTCTTTTATAATCCTAAATTCCCATCATCAGAATCGTCACTGAGAATAGACAATACAGTTTATGAACTAATGTATATATTATACGACACGTCAGGGCTTATGTAATTGCTCCATTACTGAAATGGCACTAATTTTTGCCGACATCCATCCTTAAGCGCAATACCTCGTGGATGATCCCTAACGATCCAAATACCACGACCGATGCTTGCACGTGGGCAGCTATTATCTCTACGGCCCGTTCTGGTATTTTCCATACTAGTCTGTCCATTTTGATATGATAATTAGTATAGTAGGCAGAATTTGTTCCTTTAAGCAGTTCACATAGGAGAGGGTTCCATTGATTTAGGGATAATCCTGAACGCAGCCAGGTAATACCCAGAGCGCTACAAAAGAAACTCAAAAGGTGCTCTCGTCCAACGAGCGCTCAAAACCTGCTCATTTTAGAATGACTTAAATACGGAGCTGAGAAATTGCAAAAGAATCTTAGTCAATAAATGCCAAAAGAACCAGAGACTAAGGCAAACGTAACAACCATTTACTACGAGAATCGAATAACCAGCGGTTATAAACTAATAGAGCAGTTTACCGGATCCTTCAATCCATTGTCCACACTCCGCAACATCGCAAGCGTAATAAAATAAAAGTAAACTACAAGGGCAGGGTGGACCAGTGGTTAAAGTTCAGAGTACTAAGATTGGATCAGAGAGGCGCGGGTTCGATCCCAGCTCTGTGCGTCAGTTTCTGGTCAGAATCTGCAAGGAGGCCGGGCGGTTAAAGCACAGCAGAATT